ATGCATTAATTAGGATGCCTAATAGAATGACACATGTCAAAAAGAGAATAAAACTATTCTTTTATTAGAATAGGGATATATTTTTGTCAAAAATATTAAGATTGTTCACTCATATTTTTTTAAGGTAGGTCACACTAATTTATTATATATAATAACTTGTAATATAAAAAAAAGGTGGGTCAATTTCGTTGAAAAACAAAAAACCCTAAAAAATTCTAAAAATCATAAAAATACATATAAAAAATACTTAGAGATTACAAATCTTTTTTTTTGACTTTATATACAAAATTCGCAACTTTTTTAACAAATTCGTTGAAATTTTTTTTTAAAAAAAAAATTCGATTTTTTAATTTTTTTTTAGCGAAATTTTTAAAAAAGCTGCGATTTTTTGATGTATAAAGTCAAAAAAAGTTTTTTGATCTCTAAGTATTTTTTTATACATTTTTATGATTTTTAGAGTTTTTTTAGGGTTTTTTTTTGTTTTCCATTAAACCCTTATATATATATATATATATATATATATATATATATATATATATATATATATATATATATATATATACTAGCAGGATACCCGTGCGATGCGGCGGTGGCAAATAGTTGCTTCCGATAAATATTCTTAAATGGATTGGTTTTTCCATGCGAGAATATTGATTCACGTAGACAGAAAAGTGTTCGCAAATAAAATCATTAAGGTGATGTTATGTTGTGGTCTTCTTGAAGAATATATTGTAATAAACATAAAATCCACTATATTTTATTATTTTTCTGGTTTAAACATTTAATTTTCAATTTTGTTAAAAAACAATTATTGTTTTTATAAAACTTCAAAATATACTATTGTGACAATTATCGTTTTTTGTTTTAATTATTTAGTACTTATATTTATTGAAAATATAATATATCAAAATTTATAATTTTTTTGATCGTTTATAAACAGACAACAATATTGATAACAATCCGCAAAGTTTGGTTTTTTGTTGAAAAACCATTCAGTTTTGATTTTTATGGTTTGGTTACGTATTTTTAGAGTGAAAATTATTTGATTTTGGTTTGTATGATCCAGTTTCGTTTTTTTTAGTTGAAAAGAGATTCAATTTTTGGTTTTTATGTTGAAAAAAGTTACTTCAATTAATTTCTATAATTTAGTCTGGGAAGGCAACTTTCATATAAATACTTACACCATTTCTATAATACCATCTAACAAATATTATTTTTTACTAAAAATAACTCATAGAAAGCAAAATCAATTTATTTTTCTATCAAAAAACTGAAACCATGGAAACCGAAGTTGAATTAAAAAAAAATAAAAATAAAAATAAAAAATAAAAACGAACTTTACGGTTTAGTCTCAACATATATCGATATAGTTGTCTGTTTATAGACGAAAACAATTATACATTTGACATATCGGTGAATATCATTTCTATTAATATAAATAATAGTTTAAAAAAAAATAAGTTATGGACCAAACGCACAAATCACCCCAAATCATAAGGACCACTCGTGTAATTTACTCTTTTGCAATTCTTATCAAATTCAGCTACTAATTATTAGTGCTTTTCAAAAATATTAAATGCTTTTCCTTTTAGAATATTACGTGACTAATACTTAAAAAAGGACTTAAATGTAAAGTAATTAATAGATAATCTTTTAAACAAAAATTGTTTATTATTCATTTATAAATTTATTACAGTTTTTAGAAAACTGTTTTTTCTTTAATTTAAACTCATTATTATGTTTCATTGTTTTATGGGGAACCTAATAACCTTTTGTATTCTTTTCTTTATTGAAACCCTCAAAATACCTTTTTATATTTTCTAATATGTTTTTCTTCAAATACTTACAAAATTATTGTTTTTGCATATGACAACTTTTATTTTAAATTACTTTTAATTGCCATTTTTGCTTTGATTGTTTCCTTCCTAACATTATTCACAAATTAGTGACCATAATTTTGTAGGCGAGAGACACATGATCAACCCTTAATACAACGTACCACATGACATTTAGAATGCGGTTTATTTTGACTGTGGTTATATGTTTTGAATAAAATTTGGTACATGTTTATGTATAACATAAAAAAAGTTAGATAACAATTTTATTGTTAACTCGCTATCTAATGTATCACAAAAACAAAACTAAAAAATAAATAAATAAATCAAAACTATCGTGTGTTAGTATCATTGAAATACTATTGTTTAACTTTATAAACAAATTCACTCTTAAGTCTTAATCACAAATAATATATCATGAAATAAAGGTATTATTAATTTAATATAGTTATAAATTGATAAGAAAAATCATTTTATACTAAATTATTTGTGATAAAAAAAATATTTATGATAAATAATAAATAATAAAATCTAAATCAGCCCAACAAAAAAGGGTTTTACGTTTGTTTTAAGATCGAGTTACATAAATATATACATATAAAAATGGTTATCATGAAATAGTTAAACTTTTTTTACCATAAAAAATTATTATTAAAGTTTCTTTTATCATAAAAATTTACTCTAATAACCGAAAACAATTAGTCAGAAAACTTGTAATTATTTATTTATTGTACAACAAAAAATATCTTTTTTTAACATTTTTTAATATCTCCATTCATTACACAATAAAATAAAATAAATTTAACTTCATAATTTATTTTTATATTTTTACCATTATCTAAACAAAATACCCAAAACTAAGATACCATGATAGTATTGATCTTGCAATATTATTATTAAAAAAATTGTAGGTTCTCATGTTACTTTTTTAATAAAGAGTTTAGCATCCAAACATTACCATCGCTACATTTCAAATTTTACTTTTACATTCAAAGTTATTTAATGAATTATCATTATTTATTCCTCCGTTTGATGACATGTAGTTGCCTTACTGTTTTTATTTACTATTTTATTTAAATTTTAATTTTACATTCAAAGTTAATTAATGAGTTATCATATTATTTATTCCTCCGTTTGATGACATGCAGTTGCCTCATTGTTTCTATTTACTATTTTATTTTTCTTCTTCGTTGAAAGAAGATACTTAATATACTATACTATCTAAACTATATAAAATGATTGATTTTTTTATTGTAATATTTATTAAAACAAATTTCTTTGCTTGAGTTAATTATCAAATATGAATCTAATTGGAATTCGATGAATATATCATGACAATTGTAGACAGTTGTGTTAATTAACTCCATCTACTGTTGATAATTTCTCATTTTATCAAATCACAGCATCAACACATCAAACTGAATATCAACAATATTTTTTCATTTTATTATATCACAACATTAACGCATCAAACTGAATATCAACAATATTTTCATGAATTTACAAGATTAAAATATTACAAACATAAAAATATCAAAATCCCAAATCATAAAACCATCAAGAAATTCTTGTTCGTTCTCTAAAAACATCAAACATTTCAACAACAATATATAAAAAAATGATTACAGGAAATAGAGTAGTTCGTTCATGCATGACTCTATTTGTTTTGTAGCTCCCAGCTTAAATAAGTACATGAACACAAACAAAAATACACAAAAAATGACAGATTAAAAAACGTCATATTTCAAGCGTTTAACAACTTGCTTATTTCAAGATCCAATAAACAGAACTAAAAACTAAGCCACATGTTAGTGTACACACAAGAGACGGATAAAATTTGAAATGGGGCTGGGGTTTTCCATAGAACATGGCTTTTATAGTTAGGGTTGTAAACAATCCTTGATTGTGATTGGTTTATTCTTAGTTAACATGCATTATAAACTTTTAATCTATACCATCCAATGAAAATCTAATGGTCACAAACTTACCTCCTTATTTTTAAGACTTTGGTCTTAAAAATCATAGGACCCACAATTATATATGTATTATAAAGTAGTAAGATAATATATATATATATATATATATATATATATATATATATATATATATATATTATTTGGAATAAATCTTAGATTAATGTCTGATTCAAAGTGGATGTTTGAGATTGATTGTTTAACTCAATAAGCAATTTTTGATAAAAATACTTAGTAGGTTATGTGGTGGTAAAAATAGGTTTAAAAAAAAATATTTATATTAACTTATGTGATGAAAAAAAGCTATAACTTGATAAAAACATATAAATTTGTTTTTTTGGATCGACTTATATTTATAAAATGTCAAAAATAAAAAGACAGAAAAATAGAAAAGAAAAAAAGAGTGAGTTCATTAAAGATATTATTAAGGTTGTAAAAAATGTTCGACGTTAGTTAGTCGGTGGACTAGAGTTAAGAGAATAATCGGCTAAACATAAATTAATCGGGGACCATAAATTGTTAATTCGTTGAATATTAAAAGAATAAATATGATGAATAACAAATTCGTAAATAACACTAATATCATAACAAAATAAGTTAATATGATCAATACGACGCTAATTATTCCACAAATAGTTTTCTACTGTGATAAAACTTATTTAAAATGTTAAAATTTCCTCGTTTTCTACTGTTTTATTGAGAAATTGATTAATCGTTAGGCGCCCTCTAGTCGGTCGGATAGCGCCTAGATATTAATCGTGACCTAGTTGAAATTTTTACAACAATAGATATTATAATAGTTTTATCTTAAGAAGTCATAAGTTTTTTTTAAAAGACTTATTAATTTTTTGAAAATCCTATAAGTAAATAAGCTTTTTCTAAAACTTAATCCCAAACATCCCCTAATTAGTATATAAAAAAGCATATACTCGAATATAAATTGTAATTTTTTCTAAAAATATAACATGCTTGAATTACAATAAGAAAAATTTCAGAAAATTTTAATTTTATACAATATCAGGAACTTATTTGCAAAAAACGTGATGAGTTTTAAATGTTTATTAAAATATTGATTTTCTTGGACAAATCGACTATATAAAATTTACGGAGGGACTAATGTGTAACGTTTTAAATTACAAGGGGTTGACTAAAAGCTCAAGTCGAATTATAACTTGATCGCCCATCACGCCACGGCGACCTGCGTCACTGATCGGAAAATTTGCTCAACGCGGTTTCTGAAAGCGACGCATAATATATAATCGAATTCGAAGCACAGTAGCACACTAATGCAGAATCAAAATCTCCCCAATTTCCTTTATGATCGAATCCCTAAAATTCAAGCAATGTCTATGCTCGTGGACTGTCCTAACTGCCGTACAACGTTGAATCTACCGGAGGGAGCCAGATCGATAAGATGTTCTGTATGCCAAACCGTTACTAAAATCGCTGACACCGTTGTACCCTCTCTTCGCCCTTCTCCGTTTGCTGATGTGACGGGGTATGCGCCTTCACCATCGCCTTACACTAATGCTCCGCCGTATCCTTACGGCGTTTCTCCGTTTCCGGGTCTAGCGGCGCATGTTCCTTCGCCTTACAACAATGCTCCGTCATCTCCTTCCGCTGTTACAGCGTATCCTGGTCTAGTGCCACATATGCCTTCACCGTCGCATTTGAGCTATTCCCCGCCGTCCGTATATGGTAGGAAGAAGGCGGTGATCGTCGGCGTATCGTATAAGAACACTAGTCACGAACTTAAAGGATGCCTTAATGATGCTAAATACATGAAATACCTTCTGATCAAGACATTTCAGTTTCCCGAATCTTCTATTCGTATGCTCACTGGTATGAACCCTAATTTATGCTTGGGATGGCAGTAGGCCAATTTTTTCCTCATATACACCTGCTATAAAATTGCAGAAGAAGAAACAGACTCTAGCAGGATCCCAACAGCACGTAACATGAGGACTGCACTCTCTTGGCTAATCGAAGGATGTCAACCAGGAGACTCTCTCGTCTTTCACTTTTCCGGCCACGGTTCACGGCAGAGGAACCTCAACGGCGACGAGCTTGATGGGTATGACGAAACCTTGTGCCCCTTGGATTTTGAAACAGAAGGTATGATCATTGACGACGAAATCAACGCAACAATCGTCAGACCTCTTCCTCTGGGAGCCAAACTTCATGCAATCATCGATTCTTGCCATAGTGGGACTGTTCTAGATCTCCCATTCCTCTGCAGAATGAACAGGTGAGGCGACTGATTTTATCGTAATGTTACGATCGAAATCAAGCTCTGTGTCTAACAATTTGTGCTGTTTCTTGGTGTCATAGTTCTGGGCATTACGAATGGGAGGATCATCGTCCTACAGCACCAGGCATATATAAGGGTAGTAATGGAGGCGAAGTCATTTCGATCAGCGGATGTGACGATGATCAAACATCTGCTGATACATCGGTAAGTCTAACCAAATTCTCATATTTTGATTGAATTTAATGATATTCATAACAAGTCTTGATATGCAGGCGTTATCAAAAATCACATCAACAGGAGCGATGACGTTCTGTTTTATAGAAGCTATAGAACATGGAAACGCGTCTACTTATGGAAGCTTGTTAAGTTCAATGCGTAACACCATCCGTAATGCATCAAGAGGGTTTGGTTCTGCGAATTCTGTGCATGATATGCTGTCAAGTAATCGTGGGTTCACTCAGGAACCACAATTGACTTCATGTGAGCCTTTCGATGTGTATGCAAAACCATTCTCCTTCTGATCTTCATATTTGATGAAGACGCACATTCTAGTTGAGTACAGTTTGTAGAATTTGTCCCTGTGTGTGTGTGATTGCTAACTGTAAAGAAGTCAGTATCTTTATAAGTGTGGATATATATTAGCTTTCTTGCTACCATATGATGGCTTGTAACAAAGATATATTAGATTTGGAAGATCTGAATTTGAAGTTTGAACACATGACTTGTGACTATGATGACGTCAGTTGTGTATTTGAACGTTTGTGATGTGAATGAGTACTACCTTCTCCTTGAATCTGTTATATTTTGATTTGTTAATTGTCATGAATGAAAGATTATGATCCAAGTTCATGTTATGTCTAAAATGTTATATTGAGCATGTAACGTAACCATGTTTCATAATGTTATAAATAATCTTACAAATATACTCTAAAACGATCAGCAATTCTATATTAGAAAGGGTGTCAACGTGTATTTCGTAACAAACTTCCTATCTCAAAAAAGATGTATATGTATATAAAATAAATATACCAAGAAATCAAGAATGATATGTGACTTTTTGTTTGGTCGGTCACCAAAAATTATATAAAAAAATGTGGCTTAACAGAGTGCTCATCGCCGTCCAGCAACTCCCACCAATAGAGATGAATGAATGTTCACGCCTTGGCTTTATTCTATTGGTGGTTTTTATTAATTTTTGACCAAACACGACGAACTCTATATATTATATGTTATTTAAAAAAATTAGAAAAACAAAATATAATACAATTCATTATTTTTTCTATATAAATAATCACTAATATTGATATATTATTATCATAATATAGCTTTTAATAAAATATTGAGTTGGTTTGAATTGATAATAAATCGATAAACATTGAATTGGTTGGTTATAGGGATGAGCAAAAGGACCGAACCGGCCCGAACCGGACCCGACCCGGGAACCGGCTTCGGCCAAAATCAAGAACCGAACCGGCCCGGCGGTTCTACCGATTCCCGGTTCTTACCGGTTATTGTCGTGTCTTCAAATGTTGGAACCGGTCCTCGAAAAATAGCATCATACGGTTCCGGTTTTTGCCGGTTCTACCGATTCCGGTTATATCGGTTCCGGTTCCTACAGGTTCCCGGTTCCAAAAATCCACAAAAATAACGTCCCGGTCCCGGCCCGACCGGTTCCATCGGGTTCCGGTTCCGGTGCCGGTTCCGGTGCCGGTTCCGGTTCCGGCCGGTTCCCCGGTCCATATGCTCATCCCTAGTTGGTTACTTATGTCAATAAGAAAGAACTTTAACTTATTTTATTAAATGGTTGTGTTGGTTTGAGTTGCGGTAAACTTTATTTTTAGGGGGTGTTTCGGAATGCTTTTTAATCCATTATTGACCTTTTGTAAAAACCGGGAATTCCTAGTTTTTTGAAAAAGTTATTTTTTATACTAAAAAGATAGTGTTTACCAAACACTTTTTTAACTTATTGACTTTTTGAAAAGTCAATAAGTTAATAAGTTATTTTAAAAAAACACTCCCAAAAACCCCCTTAGTAAGTCGAAAATTTTGAGTAAATTAGTTAAATAAACAATTCACAAATTAGACAATATTAGTACATAAATGTGCATCCACTAATCTAATTGTTAAATCTATTGCACCTTGTAACAACTTTTGGCAAAAAAAAGGTAATTTTTTTGTTAAAAATATTGTTTCTTTTATTATTGGATTGGATTTCACTAAATGAATTACTCATTTAATTAAAAAAATTACTATTTTTATAACTATAAAATAATCTTTGATTAGAAGTGTTACTGAGTTACTAATCTTTATCTAAAGAAAAATATATAAAAGTATCGAAATGTGCCAACTTGGCACCGAAACGTTACCTTGACATATATATTTGTAAAAATGGTGGATTCATACTACTACCTATTAATCTTGTGTACAGAAAAAATGATATAAAAGTGTATAAGCATTTTCACAATTTGAAGATTCTTAAAGAACTCAAAATTGAATAAATAACATGTAATATGCGGGCCTATAAAGTTTGGGCTCTTGTTAAGGCGAAGCCTTTATTTTTTGGAGTGTAAGGATAAGCCCAAAAAACCGAGTCCACGTTCCATATAAACTTCTCATATCGCAATCGGCCGAGTTAAAGTCTAGGGTTTTTGTTGGCGCTTCCAATCTCAAGAATCCCGTCTCATTCGATTTCACCAAGCGTCAAGCCATGGTACTCCTTAGATACTAGATCTCTTTGTATGTTAAGATTTATGTATAATACTATGTTGTATTTGTACATTTTTACGTATTGATTGCTTGAATTGCTCGTTATATGGTTTTTAATATCATGTATTAGTGTTTTTTTGTTGAAACTTGAAAGATGCCAATATTTGATTATTCAGGTTGTTAATAGCAGTAGTTAGGTTTCTGGAAGTGGTTGAATTTTAGGGCTGAAAGGTTTTTTTGAAAATACAAACAGAGCAAAGAGTGTTAGCTAAAACGATGGTTAGTTTTTAATATAAATCTTAGATTTAAAAATTTCAATCGTACGACTCCTATGTCAATCAGTTTTGAACTTAGAGAATACATATTTTGGCTGTTCATTAGTGTTTTTGAGAATCAGGTGATTTGATATAACAAATTAGCTTGAGAATTAGCTTGTTCTCAGAACTTGTTCTCAGAGTTCAAACTTTAAAGCATGTGAATAAAGCTTTGATGAAGTTACAGAAAGAACTTTGTATATTGCACCCCTAATTATAACCAGTTATTTAGGTGTGTAATGTAATTGCTTTTGTTGCTCATTATAAGGCTATCTGTACTTGTGTTATTGTTAAGTTTTCTTTCTTTCTACTGTTTACCTAGTATTTTTTTTCTTCCAAAATTACTGTTCTTGCTTTTGCTACCTCTTTTCTTGTTGTATTCTGTCATGCTCATGTATTGATACATTTGTTTTTCTTATTCACAGACTAAGAGAACCAAGAAGGCTGGAATTGTTGGCAAATACGGTATGGATAATGCTTACTCATCACATTTATATCTTCATTTAATGGCTAAAAACACAGTCATCTCCAAGATCTAAACTTGATTTAGTTTGAGATTTTGCATAACTTTTTGTTCAAAAATCATGCTCATTTATGATAAATTAACCTCTCTACAAGTATGCTTTTTTTAATTGATTATTTGACTTCTTAGGTACCCGATATGGTGCTAGTTTGAGGAAACAGATCAAGAAGATGGAAGTTAGTCAGCACAGCAAATACTTCTGTGAATTCTGTGGAAAGGTACATCTTTTTGTTCATGTGACCATTATATTAATATAAATCTTGACTTAAATTTTTTTTTTTTTTTTTGTTGCAATATTCATTTTGGGCATTGTTTTACAGTATGCAGTGAAAAGGAAAGCAGTTGGTATCTGGGGTTGCAAAGATTGTGGCAAAGTGAAAGCAGGGGGTGCTTACACTTTGAAGTAATGATATTTTACGATGTTTTAATTTTTAAATTTTAAATTTTCTTCTAATAATTTCACAAGTGTTAACATTTTCTTTTAAATTTTTTTTTGCAGCACTGCTAGTGCGGTTACTGTCAGGAGTACCATCCGTAGGCTGAGGGAACAAACTGAGAGTTAGATTTGGATGTTTCTTGATCTACTTTAATCCTCAATTTTCTATCACATTTCAGAAGATTATTGCAATTTTGTTTTCTATTAAAAAAATACATTGCTAAATGCAATCTTAAAGTTTTGAATGGTATGTTGACATGTATGTGCTAAAATTTTTAATTTTGTTATGTTTCTTTAAATCTTGTTTAGGGGCTAAATGTAAGAAAAAGGGTCGTCCTTCATGCATTATACTATTAGACATTTAGTGAAAGTATGATGCTATATATTGATTAAACCACATCTCAAACAGATTTTTGATCTTGATTTCATTAGTATAGTTGTTAATACACATACATGGCAAGATAGGCTTCAAACATTTTCCCTAAAAGCTAAACTGATCTACAAAACTAAACAAAAAAAGAAAAAAGTCAAAAATCTCAATATATCCATGAACAAAATTGGTCTCAAAAAACAGTTAGTTTGGCAGATGATAAATCTTAGGATGATCATCACCATCACTCTGGTTAGGCAGGTTTTTCTGTACCGCCTTCACTGCCGCCACTCTAGCGGCATTAGCTGACCTATTAGCAGTAGCCACCACCCTATTAACTCTTTCATCCACTTTTCCTAAATCATATGCTTTCTCTGCTGATCTTCTTGCTTCCTGGACTGCATTAAGAACTCTAGAATGATAGACTGCAACATTTGAAGGTGATGATGGATGCGATTGTGTTGGGGTATGTGAACTTGGGATATTAAGAATCCCATTTTGCCAATGCCCAGATTGGGTTTCACCATTTCTGAAAGTGTACATACCAAGCCCTTGTCTTCTTCCTTCATGCCATGATCCTTCATATCTATGCCCGTTTGCAAAATTGTATACTCCAAATCCATGCAGAGAATCTGCAAAGTATTCTCCAGCGTAAGTATCCCCATTCCTGTGATCAATATCAAAAGAAACTATAATCTTGTCATTGGTTGTCAAAATTTTGATATAAAACAAGATCTAGAAGTGATAGAATCAGAGGGTTTGAGGAGTTGTTATCTTACCTGAAATGGTAGTGGCCAAGACCATGTTTAACACCCCATTTGAATTCTCCGACATATCTACTACCATCTTCACAAGTATGGATTCCACATCCATGACTTTGACCGTTTGACCATTCACCAGAATAAACATCTCCGGTGTAGAATCTATACACACCAAATCCATGTCTCAATCCTTGCCTGTACTGACCCCTATATCGGCTTCCCCTTGCCCATGTCTCTACACCATAACCATCGTACTTTCCATCAACCCAATCGCCTTCGTATCTCCCACTCATGTAATAGTAGTAAACGCCACAACCAGAGCACTTGCCTTTGTGAAACTCACCCTCGTATACATCACCATTGTTGTATGCCTGCACCCAACAACCTGAATTCCATTTATGAATATGATCGCCTTTTGTTTTGGAATTGGAACCGATTGACCAGAACACCGGCAATGGTGATTTGGAGACCTTGTCTGATAATGTGAGTTTGATTGGGAAAGATCTGGCAAGAAACAATCGGATTGAAGGGAGGCGAGGGAGGGCGAGATTGAGGGAGAATAATAACGCAGCTGAGAAAGCGAATGCCGATAGGAAATCGAGGAAGAAGGAATGACTAGGGTGAGATACCAAGAAGTAGAAAAACGGGAGAGATAGTAAGAGGATTAAACGGAGGTGAGTACGGAGGCGTCGGAGGTGACGGAGACGGTTGAGGAGGTGGATGGCGGTGGATTTTGTGTTGTAAAACCGCCGGTTTTTAGACGAAAAGGAGTAGTTAGGTGATTTCGCTAGGGAATTTGAAAACGAAGTTGGTGTGGTTTGGGAGAAAACAGACCGTTTGTGAGGTGTTGATCTAGGAGTCGGCCCGGCAAGTGAATCATAATCAAAATCACCGTCGTCGATCAAGATGTGATGTTCATGATTAGGGCTGGTACTTGTGGTTGTCGTGGTAACATCATTATCAGGCGACTGTGTCGATAACAAAGAAGACGAAGAACAGAGTGAAGAACCAGAAGAATGTTGATTCAATTCGAAAATGGAGAGTTTATGAGGAGATTGATTCTGAATCGTTGGGGTCGGATTGAAATCGGAAGAGACACCGCTGCTATCTTTTCCGATCTGAACCTCCGATTTCTTGTGATGCATTACATACGTGATTAGGGTTTTCTGAATGAAGTTTTCAGCAATGTTATGAATTTCTTAAGTCCCAAACCTCCTTGAATTTTGAATTGTGTTGTTGAAGTTGATTGAAATTTGAAGGGTTGAGTTTCTCTCTCTAAAACGAGAAGCAGAACGGAGTCTTCGTTGAGTTCATGGCCATGGCTATTGAATTTATTATGCTTTCTATTTATACAAACAGCTAGTTTTCTTTTTTCTTTTTTTCTTTCTAAAACTAAAAACAAAATTGATTATGCTTTCTATTTACAGAAAAAGTTTACAAACATTTTGTTTTTAGGTAAGCTTTTTTCCTTTCCAAATCAATAGTTTTTAACTTTTTATTGAAGAGTAAACCGGTAAATCATAATGTAAAAAAATAATTCTAATTAATGTTTATTTTTTAAAAAATTATTTTTTCTAACTTGATATCTTGTAGATTTTGTTATAATAAATATAACGGAAACCAAAGGGCTTCTAGCCCAGCGGTATCAGGTGGTAGTGTTAGTTTAGGAGTAGATTATATATTTGTATTTGCCGGTTCAAAAAATAAATAATAATAATAATAATAAATAAATAAATAAATATAACGGAAAGTTAATATTTATTTAAAGATATTTTTTCAAACTTGATATCTAGTGGAATTTGTTATAAATGTAAAATTAAATATAAGAAATGATCCTGAAATTAATAGTTTATATTTAGATGATTTGGTCTCTTATTTGATTTGATTAATAATGTAGGCTGTTCAACATTGAATTTGAAATGAACGAAAATATATTGATTTTATTGGTTGTCAAATTTTGATGTTTTCACTGCTCATGTGCATTTCGCAATCCATTGAAGAAGACTCTCAACTCAGGGTAATGATTGAAAAAGAAAATAGACGTTTTAAGTATGTTTTTCTTCTTTAAATTATGTGCATTGGCATAATAGGTTGATATTGTTTGGATCTAGAAATTTTTGTTGTCAAAATTTGATTCTCAGTCACTAGCAATGTGGGCGATGTGTAAACCGCAATTTGATTTTTTTTGGAAAAATCTATTAAAAATTTATTATGTTTAAAACATCGATTTAATGATTACTTTTGTTTGGTCAATTAAGTCCAAAAAACCGAAAATTATATTCATGTTGACCATTTTACCTGGTTAATAGGCCATTTAACGTTCAAAAATTATATTTTTGTCCCAAATTTTAGATTTTTTTATAAATTTGATCCCAAATTTACACTTTTGGTTCAGATTTTAAATTTTATTATAAATTTAGTAAAAAATTTACACTTTTGGCTAAGATTTCAAAATTTTGTTACAAATTCATCTGAAATTTACTTTATATATATATATATATATATATATATATATATATATATATATATATATATATATATATATCTTTAGAATTTTGTTTAGAATTTTTTTTTGCTTTATGAAATCATATTTATATAAAAACATATTTCCACATAGAAAACTTTTTTTTCGTGTATATATATATATATATATATATATATATATATATATATATATATATATATATATATATATATATATATATATATATATATATTAAAAATTTTATATGTGAAATATGTATTTATAAAATTAGGTATTTGTTAAGAGCGAAATACGTATTTATAAAAATTTTGATCATTAAAATTGAATAATGGATCATTTTTATGATCCATGATTCATTTTTTATGATTAATGATTTAATTTTAATGATCAAAAATTTTTTTTTCCCAATTTTTCTCTCTCTAATATAGTACTATGCTCGATTTTATGATTTGTATTTTTTTTAAAAAAAATTTCAATTTTGTTTAAGGTGTCTCCACGAGTCCTCACCATAACCGGACCCTATAACAGCTCTATATCATCAACCAAACTCGATATCTAATCATGCGATTTTCTCATTAGTCTCACCAACAGGTTCATATCAGCTCCATATCATGAATACCCGTAACCCATACTCGGATCATATATATATATATATATATATAGATATATATATATATATATATATATATATATATATATATATATATAATTATTACATTTCGAAACCATAAATCAATGGGGTAAAAGATACCTCAATGCATCTCGTACTCGTCCCCGTATCTCCCATACAGTGATACAACTCCTTCGGTATAATATCTCATAAATGACTCCCAGGTAGCATCTCCGGTCATGTGTGCCAAAACCTCTCAATTGTCACGAAAACTCTCGTATTTATATCCAGACATTCATTACGTCGTGACCTCGTAAGTGTCACGTCGTGACGATCTTACACACTCCGATCTCGACACGTATTGTACTCTTTTGCGACGTGTCTCGTTGATGTGACTCATGACACGTCATGACCATGTATGCCTCACGTCGTGAGGGTCAATAAACTCTTGTTTTGGCACGTATGAATTGTGAACGCTCCGATGACTCATCACTCTTCATGTTGTGACAAGCTCATTGTCACGTCGTGACATACTTAATGCTACGTCGTGGAGAACATTCATCCACGTCAAGTGTAACATCCCAAAATCACGATAAAATTTTTATTTTTCAATTAAAGTAAAATCATTGTTTCAATCAAAACTCAAGTCATAAAAACCAAGTATTAGGTACAATTATCCCAAAATTAGAGTATCATAAAATCTCCAAAACATATCACTGAAGGATGTGTACGATCATGCCTTCGCCATGCCCCTGTCCTCTAAAGTAGCTGAAATCATAACAATCAAACAGTAAGCCAAAGCTTAGTGAGTTCCCCCAAAGTACCACACACTACTAAATAGATAACAACATGCATATATAAGCCTTTAACCTGACTGGATCGCCTTGCATGGCCTACAACCTGTCTGGACTGCTCTCCGGGCGTTCGACATGACTGGACCACCTTGCAGGCCTTTAGTCTATCCGGACCGCCCCGGGTATCTTGGCCTTCAACACAAAGCAGGACCACCTCAACTCAACAGACCATAACATGTTGACATATACAATAACAATCAATAACCAACAAATACATGTAATCATACGGATCTACAAGTCTAACACATATCCAGTGAAAACATGTAATCATACAGATCTACTCAGTCACTACGCTCGGCGTAGCGAGGCCCTTCTTGGTTATGCGGCTCCAACCTAGTACGATCAGTGTACTAGCCTTGAACCCAAAACTCCACTTTAAGTCCTTAATGCAGAAAGCCAACTCATAAAACTTTAGATCTAGGTAAAAGGGGACGTCTTAATGGATAAAGTCTATGACTTTATCCATTTTCATGCATATAAGAGGGAATAAATTCAAACCCTAGGTCCAAAAGTCATCCGAGGCTCTAAATCTCATACATGGCTTAATGAGAGTGACCAAGCTCTCATTTTTATGACTCCATAAGCTCAATACTACATAAAACTACACTTCAAGGACCTAGAGTAGCTCATACTCCACTAGACCAAGACTATGGGACCAAAAAAGTACACAAACCCTAGACTAACAAGATCTTAGCAAATAAATCATCAAGTTCCAAGATTTGTACCTTCTGAGGATGCTTGAGGGTGAGATACTTTTGGATTAAGTTGCATTGAACTTCCAAGCTTGTATACCACCTTCTTCCTCCTTCATAAGCACAAGAATACACACTTTCAAGCTAAAAAACAAACACCAAGGGAGCAGGGTTTGCAAGGGACGTTTTTGGGAGATGGAGGCTGGTGGGGGAAAGGTGATTTGCATAATAGTAACTAACTGTTTTAAATTTATAACCTAACTAACTTAACTAACTATGCATCTATAGGCAGTGTAGATAGTCAGATTATATAATAGCTTGGGTAACTCGGGTGTCGATCAAAGGGAACGAAATTCAATTAATTAATCTAACTACTTCTAATTAAACTAAAAACAAACAAACTTTGATTGGGGCTTTTTTTTTTACTGATTTTGCAAGATCAGAAGAACTTAAATCAACTAATATCAACTAAAAAGCAAAGAAAACAAATAAACTTTAAGAATCAAAGAGTACTTCTGCTTAGATCCGATTTCAGCTTCTCTTATGGTTGATTTCTAGTGGATAAAATATAGACTTATCAATTTATGAATTACCATGCAATGATCAAGCACAAGTTAAACACCAAATCGATAATGAACACAAATTGGACTATGAATGATAGTAGTTACTTTTTCTTTGATCAAGTTATGGAACCAAACACAAATTGAGATTAATTATGCTCTCTAACACAATTAAAGTTACTATCTTTAATTACTTAATCTAAGATGTGATTAATCCTAGCTTTAATTATTTAATGATCATAAACAATTAGGTAACAAATTCATGTAATTAGAATGATCAATTATCACACAAAATCTGATTAATAAGCAATATAAGTTAGAACTAAAACATTATAGGGTTTAATATCAAGCACAAGTAAAATCAACATATATCATCCAATAAACGAAATCAACACATAAGGATTAGGTTCATCTTCACCAAACAGAAGTAAAAGGTTTTTAGCCTATCATGATAGCAGAAGAACACACAAAAGTTATGTAATTAAGACTATACATGACCAAACCGATTAAATATATGTATAATTCTTCTAATATTCTCCAATTCTTGAGCTCCACTTGCTTCTCGATATTCTCCTGAGTTTCCAGAGGTTTTTAGTTGCAATTATTCTCAGAAAACCGGTTGGAAGCCTCCACATTCAACCTAATAATCAAATACTTATAGTTTCCATAAAACTGGTCACCACGACATGGTCAACCACGAACACATCGTGGTCTTCGTTGAAATCCCGTATTATCCAAGTGAACGTTAATGATCGAGAATCTTCCATTCACCACGCCATGGTCTTCTATCTTCAAGTCTTCTTTTTATTTATTCCTGCTTTAGCTCATCCGTTCCTGCTTCCAGCTCCTCGTTTGCTTCCTTTTTTTTCCCAAGCATGTCTTTGCTACTAGAAAACAGATTTCAAACATAATAAACACCTTTTATCCCAAATTAAGCAAAATTATAGCTAAAGGTATTAAGAAATATGCATGAGTTACATGACTAAATATGCACATATCAAAAGGTCTCAAAGGAGTTAATGACTTTATATAGGCCTCAAAGGAGTTAATTATATGTATAATTCTTCTAATCTTCTTCAATTCTTGAGCTCCACTTGCTTCTTGATCT